ATCTCCAACCAAATCATGAGATGGCTCACTAAGTAGATCTAGCCAAACTACAAAATGTTTGCTCAAGGTATTGACTTCACTTGTCTATTCGGCGAGTTGTAGCTTCATCCTGAGAGTGGCAAGACACACTGACAATGCCAGCTAAATCTCTGGGACTGTACCAAGTCCACGACCTGATGCTGGGACTTATGATAACCACTATAGCAGAGGACTTCGGATAAGGTGCGTCCAACTAAGTCGCCCCGACAACACGACAAATTTGCGAATACGAGATCAGACCACATGTATACATCGAATTAACAACTCGCTGATATGATCCACTTTTTTCATCTTATATGTTTTGTTACTTGGCCTGTTTACTTGCCCATCAGTCTCACTCCTTTTGGTCAACATCTACAATAAAAAGTTCAAGGAGGATTTCAAGATGTCACCTCAGCCACTGACACTAACCATGCCATATTGAGATTATGACCTTGCACTCATGTCACATTTAGAGGGAATATTTCAATAATTCCTAATTTTTTTTAATGATATTGATGAAAAGGTCGCAGGTTCCCTGGAGATTGATAGAATGAATTTGGCTAGATTTGCGGTCTCTCTATAATCATAATTTTTGAAGATCGGGGAACTCGGATTATTATCATAAGAGGCGAAGACTAAGAGATATTGACTTCTTGGATGATGAACTTGATAAACAAATTCGGATGTCGCTTAGTAATTAATATCAAATGCAAATGATAGAACCAAGTGTGCTAGTAGTGATGAGCCTATGAAATTACAGTGATTATGAAGAAAAAAACACAAGGAAAACAAGAAAAGCGATTTATATGCCTACCCTCCTGCAAACTGACTGGGTGGCTGTGGCCGCTGCTAACGAAGTGGAACATTCGTTAAATCCTGAAAGAAAATACTAAACTTTTCATAAGCGTACGTACACAATCTGATATACTAAGCTAAATAAAGTGTTAGGATATTTACTGCATCAACGGCAGGGAATATGAAGAAAAGTAAATTTTAGAGAGAACAACACAATCACCACGAGGATTAAAGATCACCAGCAACTCCAGAATCATTGACAGATAAACTTGGATAACTAACTTTTTGAGCGAATATCTGATTTGGACCAGAAGGCCTTGCATACGGGATTCAAATCCTCAATAAATCCACGTTAAGACACTTGAAATAAATTGGAATGAACGAAGAGTATAGATAGAGTATAGGGAGTATAGATAGGGAGGAGTATAGATAGAAAAATTAGCGGTATGAAGTGGCTTTGATGGACGAGGATGCAGTACTAGTAGTACAAAATAAAGGAAGTGCGATGTCTCAATCATTGAACAAAAATTTTTTTTGAATATATGAAGACCAAGATTGTGTGGTCGCACCCACTTCTATCAAAAAAATTGTTTGCTGCCTTTATCTGTCAGTTCGACTGATTGTGCCTATTACTGTGTCCATAGCAGAGGACACAGGACTGGATCCGTCCTACTTGACAGTAGTCATTTGGTTATTCTTTATTTGTTTCTTAATTTCTTCTTTTTAACTTAAAACCTTCTATACCCCATTCAAATTTGGCTTTTAAACCACTTTATTTGGTGCCCTGTATTGGCGGCGTATTATTGCTTGTTCAGATTTCTGAATCCACAAATCTTTCAGCCGTTTTGGGGTTTCTTTGCCCTAGTATGCATGAGTTTGTAGGTATATCTCATAGAGGCGCTATTACATTATCACGAAACACTAAGAGATCCTAATCTGGATATAGGGTCGGGCTAAACCTGGAAAGAATGATCAATCGGGGAGCGTGCTCGTTTTTATTTATACATTATTCTTATGCTCCACTTTTTCGGCATAGTAACATTTTTACCGAGTGAATCCAGTCTTATTATTATATTTGATTTTAAGACACGGCTTTGCCTTATACCTATGATAAGCGAAGATATTAAAGAAGAAGTCATGATTTGTGGGTTTCCCACACTGGGCCTTAGCCAGTCTAGTTGGAACAAAGCTAAGCGCACATTATTGTTGCTGCAGAAAGGTCCGTAATTGATTTATTCGATCAGCTAAGGCAACGCCAAAGCAATCTTCCTTTTGTCTCCATTGCGGCCAATTTTCATTTACCTTTTAGCCGACCTTCCATTCAGGTCCATTCTTCAGACACCATTCCTTTTTTTATCAACATTGGCTAGAGACTTGACTTTCTTCTGTCCGTTTTGCTTCAATTTTTCCGTATTTCTTTTCACTAATGTCTACTAAAACCGGTTGACTATGAAATAAATCTACTCGTTTTCACTTTTCAATTATTTACTTTACTTCGATAAGAGCGTCAAAAATATTTCAGTCTTCCACAAGAATCTTCCATACACATTTTATTTTATTCTATGATATGCCTTGCTCTTCTCTCATCTTTACCGTTTCATAATACATCCTTTTGGCTTCTTTTTAGGTTGTGCTTATTCTGGACTGCCTCGACCCCGATCTCTGCCTGTTTCAGACCAATCTGTCCTGATTGCCTCTTCACGTAGCACTCACAGTGATAACGCAAGCGGGGCTAGCGATAACCTTGCTTCTTCTTCCAAGTCTATCGCTTTTCCTTTTTGTTCGCCACTTCAATCTGAGGCCAAAGTTATTGCCCCTATCTTAGAATCCGAGGCAGCACCCCACTCTCTCTCTGCATCGGCTCTAGATGAAGAAGAGGGTGATGATCACCACTCTACTCTCTCTGGTATTTCATGGTCTTTATTTTTAACTAATACAATTTTCGGCCTATAACTGAGCTATTAACAAAGCGACATCTTCAAAACTTTTTGCTGTTCTTGCCAACATTGAGTTTTTGTATTGATGATTATATAACAAATTAACCATGGATAGATTTACGCATCGCCCTTAACGCTGCTAAGTGATTTTGATTTAATTTTGGTTAAGGTGGCTAATTTTAATTTATAGGAACATTTGGCTTTATAATTTTGTTTGTAATGGGTATTCTCTTAGCTCAATCCTGGCCTAGATCCTTCGCCCATTTTTATGCTTTGTACTTACAAACTAGCACGGTGGTATTTCTCCTAATCTGACAAATCTTCAATTCATTTGAATACA